TGCCAAGTCCAATTGGTCTAGAGTATTGTTAAGATTCTCTGTTGATTCTTTGCCTAGATGATCTGTCCAATATTTACAGTGGGGTGTTCAGGTCCCCTGCTATTATGGCATTAATGTCTATTTCCTTCTTTAGGTCTAATAGAGTTTGTTTTATAAATCTGGCTGCTCTAACATTGGGTGCATACATATTTATGATTGTTATGTCTTCTTGATGGACCAATCCTTTTATCATTACATAGTGTCCTTCATTGTCTCTTTTTATGGTTTTTAGTTTAAAGCCTATTTTACCAGATATAAGAATAGCTACTCCAGCTTGTTTTTCTTTTCTGTTTGCATGGTAAATCTTTTTCCATCCTTTCACTCTTAGTCTATGTGAATCTTTATGGATGAGGTGGGTCTCTTGAAGGCAGCATATAGTTGGGTCCTCCTTTTTAATCCAGTCAGCCAGTCTGTGTCTTTTGATTGGGGAATTTAAGCCTTTTACATTAAGAGTTGTTATTCAAAAGTGTTGACTTATTCCTAGCATTTTATTGATTATTGTTCGGTTGTCTTAGGTGTCTTTTGTTCCTTGCTTTCTGATTTACTGTTTGTTTTGTGTATTTGTTTGTTCCTTGGGTTGTAGATAGCCTTTTTGTTTGTTTTCTCTTCATGAATGCCATTTTTATTATACTAGTGGGTTTTGATTTTTCTTGGGTTTTACGGCAGTGGTAGTTATTTTTCAGGAACCAAACCCAGTACTCCCTTGAGAATTTCTTGTAAGGGTGGTCATGTGGTGGTGAACTCCCACAGTTTTTGTTTGTCTGAGAAATATACTATTTGCCCTTCATTTCGGAAGGATGGCCTTGCAGGGTAGGGTATTCTTGGCTGACAATCTCTTTCTTTTAGTATTTTGAATATATCCTCCCATTCCTTTCTGTCTTTTAGGGTTTGTGATGAAAAGTCTGATGTTAGCCTGATTGGGGCTTCCTTATAGGTGATTTAATGCTTCTCTCTTGCAGCTTTTAAGATTCTCTCTTTGAGTTTTGCCAATTTGACTATAACATGTCTTGGAGAAGACCTTTTTGGGTTGAATATGTTTGGAGATCGTTGAGCTTCCTGGATCTGAAGATCTGTGATTTTTCCTATACCTGGGAAGTTTTCTGCCACTACTTTGTTGAATATGTTTTCAATGCAATCTTCTTTTTCCTCCCATTCTGGAATACCCATGACTCAGATATTTGAGCACTTAAGTTGTCTGATATTTCTCTCAGATTTTCTTCAATGTCTTTGATTCTTTTTTCTTTTTCTTTGTCTGCCTGTATTATTTCAAACAGCCCATCTTCAAGTTCAGATGTTGCTGGGGTTGCCAATTTGGTATGGCTACCTCAGTGACTGCTCAGTTGGCCACTAGTGCCTTGCGTGTGTGGTTGCCTCAGGTCTTGGGCCTCTCCAGGGAGCCACCTCTCTGGTCAGCTTGGACTCAGCTGGGCTGCTGGGTCACGGGGTGGTACCACAGGTTGTGTGGTCTCTGCCGAGTTTCCACCTCCCCTGCTGGACGTCTCCCTGTTCCACACACACTGGGCCGTGCTGCTGGGATGCTCAGAGGCACTGCAGAGCATATGGTCTCTGTGGAGCTTCCCCTTCCCCTGCTGGATGTTTCCCTGTTCCGTGTGTGCTGGGCTGGGCTTGGGATGGAGCTGGGTGGAAGCAGTGAAGCCTACCTGCTGCTGGATCGTGCGGCGGCGGCCCCCCCCCAGAGTGTGTGGACTCTATGGAGTTTCTGCCTCCCCTGCTGGACGTCTCTCTGCTCCATACGCACTGGGCCAGGCTGCTGGATCACGCAGTGGCAGTGTGGTCTCTGTGGAGCTTCTGCCTCCCCTGCTGGATGTCACCCCACTCTGTGCACACTGGGCCAGGCTGGGAATGGAGCCAGGTGGCGGCGGTGAAGCCTATCTGCTGGATCATGCAATGGCAGTCCCGCAGGGCATGTGGTCTCCACGGAGCTTCTGCCTCCCCCGCTGGACGTCTCCCCATTCCATATGCACTTGATGTTATGTTTTTATAGTTGCAAATGGGTTGATTTGTGGGAGAGAGTGACGCTAGACACCATCTATTCCACCATCTTGACCGGAAGTCTCTTTGTATGATTTTGATCCTTTGAATTTCACTGATACTCTTTTTTACCATGTGCACTTGAAAAGCTTATGTATTTGACAATTATTAGGTACAAAATTATGCAAATATTAATTATGCCAAAAATTGGTTGATAATTCATATCATTTATATCTTCATTGATTCTTTTGTCTTTTTTCTTTTATCAGTTCATGAGAAGATGGATATTAAGATCAGGGCCATAACTACAGTGAGACTGAAGTCGGTGAAGTGCCTGGAGTCCAAAATTTAAGTAGGCATTCACTCTTAGGGTCGTGTAAGTATAGTGCTGTTTGAAGTTGTGTTTTTAGCTCAATGAGGGCTCTTCAAAAAGTTCATGGAAGGATTCGTATTATCTTTTAATTCCATTTTCCATGAACTTTTTGAAGTACCATTGTATGTGCATATACACAGGGACTTCAAAAATTCTGTGTAAAAATGGAATTAAAAGATAAAAGTAAAAAACATAAACTTTATTTCTCAACATAAGTTCCATCAAGTTCAAGACACTTTTGTAAGCGATGATACCAGCCATTTAGTTTATACCTGGAGAACTGAAGGTCCTGGGAATTTACCATGTCAGTGCAGTCTTTTTTACATTAACTGAAGAAAAATGGGTACCCTTTAAAGTTTGTTTAAGATTAGGAAACAAAAGAAAGTCAGAAGGAGTCAAATCAGGACTGTAACATGGATGCCTGATGATTTCCCATTGAAACTCTTGCAAAATTGCCCTTGTTTGGTGAGAGGAATGAGTAGGAGCATTGTCATGGTGGAGAAAGACTCTCTGGTGAAGGTTTCTAGGGTGTTTTTCTGCTACAGCTTTGGCTCACTTTATCCAAACACTCTCATAATAAGCAGATGTTACTATTGTTTGGTCCCCCAGAAAGTCAACAAGCAAAATGGCTTGAGCATACCAAAAAGCTGTTGCCATGACTTTTGCTCTTGACTGGTCCACTTTTACTTCTACTGATAGCCATGGCTTTGATTGTGCTTTGTCTTCAGGATTGTACTGATAAAGCCATGTTTCATCTCCTGTTAAAATTCTTTGAAGAAATGCTTCAGGATCTTGATCCTATTTGTTTAAAATTTCCATCGAAAGCTCTGCTCTTGTCTGCAGCTGATCTGGGTGCAACAGTTTTGGCACACATCTAGCAGTAGGTTTGCTGATTTTTCAGTCAGAATTGTGTAATCTGAACCATCTGAGGTGTCTGTGATGTTGGCTCTTGTTTCTGCTCTTAGTTGTTGGTCCTCCTCAACTGGGGCAGAAATGAGGTTAAGTTTTTCCTTGCAAATTGCTGTGGGTGGTCTGTTGCAGGCTTTATCTTCGACATTGTTTTGTCCCTTCTTAATTGAGTTACCTATTTATAAACAGCTGATTTCTTTGGGACTTTGTCCCCATAAACTTTTTGTAAAGGATCAGTGATTTCCCCATTCTTCCACCTAAGCTTCACCAGAAATTCGATGTTTGTTCTTGCTTCAATTTTAGCAGAATTCATGTTGCTCTTAGGGGATCTTTTCAAACTGATGTCTTATCCTTGTAAGTGCCTCAAACTAGGTTCTGTTCATACATGTTATAACAAGTTATTATGAGTTTACTTTAATGCAAAAAAATTTTGAAATCCATGCATAGTTTTTTCATAATATATGCTTTTCATGAACTTTTTGAAGATTCCTTGTATATCTTCCTAATGTATTAAATTTTTTATCATTACAAAATGATTCTCATTATCACTGGTCTAGTTTATTTGAAATTAATATAGCCACTTTGGCTTTTTATACTATACATGCAATATGAACTACACAACACAATATTAAAATTAAATAGAGCGCAGCATTATAACACGAAGGCCATGGGTTTGGATCCCTGTACCAGTCAGCCATCAGAAAAAAAAAATTGCTTTGAATGGTAATATGTATTTTAAAGAAATTAAGAGGATAAAAAGAGTTATTAAATTTATCCAGAGAGTTACCATTTCTGTTGCTCTTCCTTTGTTTCTAAAGATCCCATTATTCCACTAGTAGCATTTTTGTTTTTGGGGGGGCCTGAAGAGCTTCCTTTTAGCATTTCTTCTAGTGTAGGTCTGCTGGTGATGGATTGTGTTAGTTTTCTTTTACCTAAAAATGTCTTTATTTTGGATTCATTTTAAAATATATTTTCTTTAGATATAGAATTCTGCTTTGTTAAAATTTAAATGATATTTAAAATTGTTTAGTGCACAGTGATACCACACCTCTAATTTCAATTCAATTTGACAGGGTTTATTTTAGACCTCTTCTTTTGTATATTTGTACCTCTCTTCTTTGACTGTGAGAATCCTAGTTCTAGATATCCTCAGTATGTTTACTTATTACTCAATTACTCTCCATGTAGCCAGCCTGCCATCCATGCAGATCATATCTTCTGTCTCAGTTTCTCTGTATATGTCAATTGCATGGGCCTTGGCCCTGATATTCTCCTTGTTATGACCAAGAAGATTGAGCTCCTCTACTAGCTCCAGGTTCCAGCACTCTCACAGTAGACTTGTAAACCTTTCTCTTTTCATACCTTTACTTATTTTGAAATTTTGGAGAAAAAAATATAGAAGATGTGGGCAAGCAAGCCCTGATACTAAGACCTACCATTCTCATGGTAGGCTTATACACTAAGTCAGTCATTTTCCTTATCCCAGAGCTCATCACTCTCATGGTAGCCACGTGAGCCCCTTACTGTTGATTTCTTTTCTATTTTGAAAATTTGTATATTTTTAATATTTCATTTCTCCTGAGATATAATTTTTTGTTTTATTGTTTTTCTTCATTGCTTGTTTGTATTCACTTCTGGTGAACTTTTATTTCTGATTTATTTCTGAATTTTATCACCTATTTCCTGAGTTTTTCTAGTATATGTTATTCTTTTGTTTATCATAGTATTGTCTCAATACTTATTCCTATGTAGTAAAGAATTAACCTTAATCAAAGAGATGTCTGGCCTTTGCCTTTGGCTCCTGGGAGGTGATCTCTAAGTCCTTGGAATGTCCTACCTGTTAAGTATCTTTGTTTAACTGGGAGTAAATACAAAACAGTCTAACAGGGTGATTTTTGGTATGCTAATTTGGATATGCTTTTATTCTTATCTGATATGGAAATAAAATAGGAAAGAGTGTATTTTATTACTATAATAAAATGTGAGAGATGGGAGGCAGAGACATATATAGTAACTACTGCTTACCCTGGCTACTCACTGAGTCTCAGGCAGTTTTGCAGCGTTTGCCCACAGTTCAAACAGCTGCATTTTCCCAGTCCATCAAGGAGTGGCTGCTCTGCCCCTGTGCATATCTGCAGCTCTCCTGTAACCACTACCACTGAGACAGGTGCATAGTAATGGAGACTAACTTTTCCACCTTTTCACCAGGTGAAAACATCCTTGAAATTCTTCAGGGGTACCTGTCCTCGAGTTATCTGCCCATCTGCATGTGGCACTCTTTTCTCCGGTTTATATGGCCCCTGGCTGGCCATTGGGTTTATGTGGCACCCTCCAAGCCTTTTGCCTTCAGACAAATACAACATGTATTTACTACATCATCTCTAAAGCACGTTACACCATCCACCCCTAGGTCCTATAGCTGTAGCATCCAGGGGCCCTACCTGTTCCTGCTGCTTTGCTGTCTCAATTTCTCATGCACAACAGCTTGTGCCTGGAGACACACAGTTTCCCCCCAACTCACCACTGGGTTGGTCGTCTTCCCTGGTGTGAGAGGCAGGAGTAGCCAGTTGCTGTACGTCGTCCTCCAGGACATTTATCCGTGCTTCCAGCAACTCTGCTTTCTGCCACAAATCTCAATCAGTTTGCAGCATAGTGATCAGCAGCCAGGCTCTGGTCTGCAGAAAAGTGGCCACTGAGCACCACATGTTCAAGGATAGCCACATTTCCTCCCCCTCTCAAGGGGTTTTCTGTTGTAGTGCCTGGTCTATGCCGCCTTGCAATACAGTGAGCAGCAACCAGATCACAGTCAACAGGAAAGTGGCCATACGGCAGAGCATATTCAAAAGTAGCCACATTTCCTCCTTCTTCCAAGGGCTTTTGGCTCCTGTACCTGCTCAGAATCCTGTTGCAGACTACACCAATTGTAAAGCTACATGACTACACCAGTTGTCGAGCTAGGACTGGGTCTGGAGCTCACAGACCCCTCAAGCCTGTTGTCCAGACTGGGTCACAAACCCTTCTTCACATGCCAGGCTGGGTCCCCCGACCCCTCACATGCCAGGCTGGGTCACCAGACCCCTTACATGCAGGTCTGTGAGCTAGGTAACAGGCAAACAGGTCCTTGGAAGTGGTAGGTTGGAAAGCATGGCTGCACGGAGCAGTGTCCACCTGAGGCAGTCGCCATCCAAGCCGAGGTGCTGTGCATGTGCACTAACTCCACCCACGCCCACACACAATTTGTTTACAGAGAATGCACTGAACCACCCCCAACTGGCCCTGAGGTGAGGGGAGCCCGATTAAATTATTCTATTTTCCCAACAGAACGCTTTTAAATTCTGTGGAGAACATCAAATAATTCATATTAGTTAGAAACTCTATAAATGTATGATATGTGAGAAAGTATTAGACTTTGTTTGCAGCTTAGATAATGTTGAAGAATTCATATGAGTGATGTGTTGGTGGTCCCCAAGACCACAGCCACATTCAGAGATTCACTGGAAAGGCTTATAGGACTCAGCATATAGTTGTACTCATGGCTAAGATTTATTACAGCAATGTACTAAGGGTGTACAGTTGCATCATAAAGGAAAAAAGATATAGGTGGAGTCTGAAGGAATCCATACGCAGGTTTCCTTATGCTCTCTCTCCCATGAGGGGTCACACAGTGTACTTTTCCCCCAGCAGCAAAAATGCTGCAATATTTGTGTGACAAATATTTCTCCAGGGAGAAAAATCACTGCCCAAGATTTTAACATGGAGCAGTCATGTAGGTACCCTCTTCCTAGCAGTACAATAATTACAGACTCCCCAAAGGAAAGCAAGTGTTCAGCATAAACCACATTTTGTGCAGAAATAGTTTGGGTACCGTGAGCCACCCTTATCTGTTAGGAAATAGTGAGAACACTCCTTAAATCTAAGTATCCAGATGCCAACCAAGCAGCAGGCCTTTCTAAGGATGGCAGTACAAGGCCTGCTGTGTTAATCTTTTCTTGGCCAAGGCATCTTTACAGCAAAATCATTATCAATAGAACCCCCACCCAGAGGGGTGAGACCAACCTGCACCATTGACTTAGTTATATCCTCCAGCCATCCTC